TTTTTGGAGTATCGGAAATTTTTGTCGTATCCATCTCGTTATACCAAAATTTTCAACTTTTTGGCGTCCTGAAAATTTTGTCATATCCATCCCGTTGCACCGAAATTTTCAAAATTACGGTCGGTTACGCATTTGTGTTTTGAAGATAGTGCTCTGTTATGCAGCTTATAAATCTCGATACCCGACTTTAGGATATTATGACATCCCTCCCATTTTAGTCCTCAACATTACCAACATATGATCAAATTTATTCATCAGATTTTATTTCGCACCAAGCATTGATCAGTGCTACCTATGCCAACATCTACTTCTTTCTCTTTATTTTGTATATCAATAAAAAGAGAATGTCACGTCCATTAAAAGAAACATAAGACGAAGCTATAGATTTGTCATTGACAACGATCAGAAAAGAATATTTGGAATAATGGTATAAATAATACCTGCAGCTCTTTCCGTTGATATATTAGTAGCTTTAGCAAACATGTATTTGACGAAAAATTGACAATTAACTGTATTATTTGATGATAAAATGAGTTGATAATTATATTGTTTAAATGATTCTGCATAATCTTGTAATGTACTCTTACTAACCGATGATGGTTCACGTGTTAACATCGTCCATGAAAATCGTCTACAATAACTTTGATACGTTGTTGGATTGTTCTCTTCTGATATAATATTAATCACGATCTGATTCTTTAATTTATCTAGTTCATAAATAATTCCATCAATTTGAATACACCAATGATATACATCACTACCAGGTGAAAATGTCAAACTATATGGTTGATTGCCGAGACTTCGTCTACCAATCCAAATACCTTTATCCAAATTACATGTCGAATTAACTAAACTGTTAACTAAGTTTCGAGGCATGCGTAATGGATTTAAATCAGCAAGATCCATTTCCAAGGAATGCTTCGCTTCTTCTCGATCATCTGCTAATCTATAAGCAACACCACGAACCACACCATATGCATATCCAGCAACGGGAATATGTTTGGCAAAATCAAAAAAATTTCGTTCAGCCATTTGACACTTTATTAAATAATAAAAATTCAATCTTAAATCGATAAACGTTGATTTATTACAACCAAAATAAATCAACTAATAATACACAGAAGAATGCCGTACACAGTGATTACCTATTTATATCGTATTATTTTATGACTTGATGATTGTTTTTTTTCTTTAAGGGTTTTTCCTATTGATAAGTTGATGGTTTTGTCCAAATGACGAGATTTATGTGCAAGTGTCGCAATCATAGATTACTAATTGTTTATTCATTCTTCATATTAGACTTTTTTCTTCTTTTCACAAGTATATATATACTTGAAGGTGTGGATGTGTGCATGGCCCAAGTGATGATTTTTCAGAATTCTAACTGGATTAGCTACATCTTCATTGATATCTTCGGAAATCCTCGAATCTTAATGAAAGAGTAGATAAACCCATGAGACATCCCTGAATCTGACTGGCTAGAAAGTTTTATAAGGGTTTTAGAGAAAGATTTTGGTAAATTTGTAATCGACAAAAGTGGTATACAATACGTCGCATTTTAATAGCTCGCTAAGCGTTTTGTAATGTCCTTTTTTATAATGTCGGCAGTTCTTATCTCTATAGCACTTCAGAATAGACAATAATACTCAGTTTTATTTCTCTTATGAGATTGCTTATAGAAGTGTACAGTCGATATTGGCAGGTTTTTCTTTTGGTTTTCATCTGGGGTAATCCAAAACAAAATCAGTTGTTCTTATTTTTCTACTGAAGAAAAAAGAAAAACTATCTTGAAGGTGTTTTTCGGATGAGAATTATTTAGATATATCAATCAATTCTCATACCGAGATTCATTTCAGCAAGTCAAAAATTTTCAATTTCATTACGTACAACTAAAGACTACTATTTATACACTATTCTCATATACATATCGAATTTTGGGTGTGGGTGCGGGTGTGGGTGTGTGTCTGGGTGTGGGTGTGGGTGGGTGGGGGTGGATGTGGGTGTGGGTGGGTGTGGGTGTGGGTGGGTGTGGGTGTGGGTGTGGGTGTGGGTG